GACGACGACGTTTCATTTGGGCGAACCGCCCAATCTCTTTCAAACTGTCGTGTCAGTTCGGATATACTTTAAAGGCTGAAGTGGCGTTAATTTTAGATCGGGAAAACTTCCGTGAAATATCCGACTTGACAAGGTCCGCTAGCCAGCCCTGTTATCGTTGGCACATTCGTTAGTAACGATATCGACGGTCTCCTCCTACTTCTCTTAATCTCGATTTACTCCTGCAATTTATTGTTTAATTGAACGAAAAGCTGGCGCGCTTCGTTAAACTGGCTCTATCCATCCGCTAATCGATCGCGTTTCTCCCGATTCTTCGTACTATTTTTAATTTATCGGTTGCACGGTTTTAGATTCGCGAAATAACGAGCTCTCACTCGAAAATAACCGTCGTTATTTCTCCACCGTTTCTTATTACACGCGGAAGAACGTGGCCTATTATTAGCAGAGGCTCGAGTCGTATAGTTCGAATCTTAGGTTTAAAAAAAAGTTGTCTTAAAAAAAGATTCATTAAAGCGTTTTTTATATTACACGTGAGTGAAACGCGCTCACCCTCGGGATCTGCTCGCTCAATTTCGTCGCTTGCCCCTTCTTAACCCTGCGAGGTCGCGGTCCTAAAAATTCCGTGCTGCCGATCGTTGGAAACGACGCGACACGACGCGACCTGACGAAATCGATGAAACGAAAGATCCACGAAATTACGCCGCCCCCGCGAGGACAAAATTTTCGCTTCCCTCCCGATCTTTCGTGAACGAATCTGTCGATGACCGTCCATCTCATTTTTCTAAGAGCATATCCGTGTCGATACGTTGGCCATATTTATTCATGGCGTGACAAGCGGCCAGTGGTGATTCAGAAATTCACACAAACCGACCTACGTATATACGTTTATCGCCGATGGTACGCAAAAAAGGGAATGGAAAAAAAATTTACACGGTCACGCTTACTTCCACAAATGTTTATCGCGAGCTTTCTTTACCGTCTCGCCCCTCGAATCTTAAATAGTTCGAACGCACGGCACGCAATCCGTTTCAGCGCTAGAATTTATAAGGGCAACTATGACCTTTGGAGAGGAAAAAAAAAACAGAGGACAAAGACGGTATAAATTTTCTGAAAGCGTTCATGAATCGCTGCGTCATTTCGTTCTAGTTGATCGATTTGCAATTACGATATATGTGAATTTTGCCACATTTATACACCATTTTTGGTGTATAAATTAATGGCGAATTGGTAACTGGAAGCAACAAATCTATCGTTTAAAAGTCAACAGCTCGTATCAACGACTGAAGCTTTCCTGTTAATCCTGAGGAATCCTTCGAAGCTGTCTCGCGATCCAAACATTCAACGAAATAATTTTACAAATTTTTCTTATCATCGCACATCTATCTCTCTTAAAATTAATTTAATCGCGTCGCAATATTCCGCTATACGTTTTTATCTTCGCGAAGAATGAAATCATTTTACTTGCAGTTCATTTTCTAACTACAATACATACTGTCAAAAATTAGGCAAAAGTCGGGTTATTTTTGAGCGAAAGTAACATCGCAATGATAATCGCGCAAGTGCACTCACCACTCTGCAGCATGATGTCTTGTGAATGTCGAGCTAGTAGTGTCGAGACGATACGTCGATAAAAACAATCCAACCGAAGAGGATCACTCTGTACATTGCACTATGCACTTCACTGTAATAAGGTTACGTCGTACTTGTTACGAAGATTATCCACGCGGTACTTATTCCCTTATATAAGTGATTCATTAAAGCAACATGTCACTTTCGTCTTATCGATTCGAACGTCGAAACACGACTGCCGTTCCGACACGTGCGATAAGTCAAAATCGTCAAGGGTACGACTAATAAACGTTCGTGGTGTATCGTTGATCCGATACAATGTTCTAAACAGCGCGAGCAAACTGGTGTTTATTATGATCGAGCATTTTTTGTTCCTACTCGATCGTATAATTTACGAAAGTATTTGATGAATGTTTACGATAGAAAAATCGAACGTGTTGTATTACGAGCGTTATATATTAGGTCGGTGGATGTGAGATATTATTTTATTTTATATATTCGTATTATATAACGATATTACATATAATAATTTTAAATATTATATTAGAACTTTTACGCCAGTTTAAATTTGTTGCACCAGTATCGTTCATTAAATTTTATCGTATCGTTAAGTATCAACCTCATTAAGAAAGAAGACGTTTACTATGAATGACGTGTATTGAACGTGTAGATGATTGATAACGAAGGTACCAAAACCTCGTTATTGATCATCAGGGATAGTCAGAGTACTGGCGAGTGTTTTTGGAAACAGAGTCGATCGAACGGATTTATGTGAAAGAACTCATTTTTTGAAAAACTTATTTTCCCCTGTGACGCGGAATAACATCTTGCCGAGGGTCTGCTCGTATTCAGTTAGAAATTAACCAAGTTTACGCGTTTTTCGCAAATTTCTATAGCCAATTTTCTCGAAGAAATTTATATACCCGATTTCCTCGGCAACAAAGTATCGGAGAAACTGTATTCTGTGGAATCACTGTCTCGCTAATCGTACATGATCACTGGAACACTCTGTATATTTATGACAATGCTGCCTCCTTGTAATACTAATTAATAAATATATATACAAATTAATAAATAATAAATAATAAAAAGTTTCATACGCAAGACAAGTTGCATGCGACAAAAATTTTCGTACAATACGTTCAAGCAAATTTTCTACAAGTGTTCAAATACCTTCGCGAGTCACTGTATATCGTGGCTGATCATAGAGATCGTCTACCCTAAATTTCGGTTCTTTCCACCTGAGATCACAAATTCGAAAGATTATCAAAAAGATGAAGCTGCGATCGCAGTCACGACTGACAAAGGAGGGAAGAAGTTAATTACGTATTCACGAGGAATAGACTGAACGTGTACGATTATGATGTTTCGTTCGTGCTTTGATTGCTCACGAAGCAGTTTGTAAAGCAGATATCAGTTTCGGTATGTGCGGCTATAACGAACGGAAGTTGAAATAAATTAATCAGACAACGAAATTGTATCGTATTTACGCTTTCAATAATTTCAGTGTCAATGGAGTGGTGGGCGCGTGGAATAAAGCAACACTGGGGAACCTGTATACAGAGGATCCACAGAGGAGAAGCTGTTTATGCGGCTACTTTGATATCCAGTGAATAGAAGGGAGCAGAAGAATTAATCGAAGCCAGTTAACGAAGCTCTCGTGTGTGAATATACCTATATCATACATGCAATCTTCGGTGAATAATAGCGATCGAATAATTCAGGAGCGCGTTAGCCTTCGTAAGGTTAGTTCAACTCGGCATCCCTATAGTCACTTGATATTGGAAAACTTAATCGAATTCGCAGCGATTAAACACGAGCCGATTATAAGATAACTTGTATACGAGGATATCGGGGCAAGTCTATTTATTCTATGGTGGGAGAAGAAGAAAAGAAATTCCTTGCCATAATTAGACATTCGACTGTGATATTCGCGCTATCACGAGCCCCGGATGACGATATACGAATAATTCGCTGGAACAACGAGAACGACGAATGACAGCGACGAATCGATAATAGAAATGGGCGGTAAACTCCATAGGGTAGATTCATAATTGAACCACTTTGTACGTTGTATTCCTTTTTTTTTCTTTCTTTCTTTCTTTTTTATTATTATTTTTAACTAGAGCGAAGAAGCAAGCGCAGTCGTCGCAAAGCGTCGTATCCCCTCGTGTGGCAACAGGAAAATGCAAAAATCCTCATTAGCGTTTGGCGGGGGCAAGATGAAAAGTAACGAGCGGCGGCTGCTCGGAATAAATAAGCTAAGAGAATAATCTAAAATGCGAAGAAGAATCGTCGACGAAAAGCAGCAGGTCGTTGTCGAACGCGGTTGCCCGATTCGCCTGGTTTTTCGAGGCAACAGGACTAAAGGAGGGTAGAATCGGGCAGAAAAGAGGGTGGTGGATGCTGAGTGAGAAAGGAAGCGAAAGGGAGAAACAGAGTGAGAGAGTAAGAGAGTTGGAGGGAGGAAAACGTAGGAGGGGGTGAGAGGAGGCTGTGCTCGGGGTGCGGAAGAGTCAGTGCGCGGCGAGGCGCGCCAGCTGCCGCACGTCATGATTCTACCCCAGGTGAGCTACGAATTTACCCAGAAACATCACAGCACGCTCTTCACTTCAAAACGGGACCGCCAAAATTCGTGACTATATACCACTAATATATACATATATGTATATACATCTTTGCGTACAACTATTACAAAATGATTGTCTTTCACACCAACCCCTCGTGCATGAGACCAGTGTGCTCGATTGAACGGCGTACATCTTCACGTTGCTCGATTTGCTTTCAATCTGTCCAAACACCAGCACGTTACATCAACCAGCATGATTAACTACATCGCTCTCTTCGTTCACGTTTTTCTTTCTTCTCTTTCTTCTACCTGTGCTTTCGTATCCTTCGTACACATCGTGCATCGTGTGGCAAAGAGATGGCCGCGACGTCGGACGAAATTATAATCGAACGATCCTCGAGCATCCGTCGGGACACTGAGAAACCTCGTTTACGCTACTAGACGTAATATCGGCACCGTACTGTTAGCGTATCGTCGAGTGAAACGCCGGGATCACCAGATAGACCGAGTGGCTGCGCGACACGTCGATCGAGGATTTTATGGGAATCGATTCCCTGCACCGAGAACAACAGATCTGCTTCTCGACCGCTCGTAACGAGTGCCGTGTAGCAAATAAAAATTGACGAAAAGGCAGGCGAGGCTCTTCATCGCACACACATGCACACACACACACACACACTCTCTCTCTTTTTCTCTTTCTCTCTCTTTCTCTGTATCTCTCCAGCCTGACGATAGTCTCTGATCAAGCTGCTATTGTTTTCCAATGACGGTCACTCGTCCGATTGATCTTTTTTAACGACTCCGTTTTGCTCTTTCTCGCACTCTTTTATGGTGAACTGCGTATGAAACCAGCGGGGAATATCGTGACAACGCGCACCCTATTGCCTTCTACCAGAGGAAAGCGTAAAGTGATTTTGCACCGTGCAAACAAACTTTATTTCTCGATTCATTTACGGCGGACGCTTTGTTTGCCCGCGTAATTGACAGCCCGTCGAACGTGAATTAATCTTTTGCGCGCAATCGGGCGTGATAAATCTCCATCGGCGAAAATTTCAATTTTCACATGCGAAGACTCGGCTCTACGTACATCCAAGTTTCTTAAGCTACCTCGAGTGTTGTACAGCTACGGTTTTTCTATCCCATGCTCTTCTCCTCTTCTCGATCGATCGATTGCCAGCGATTTGAATATCTTCGTTCGCCGGAGTGGCGTTCGGCAAACGCAGCTTGTTGGAACAGGATCGCAACAGGTTCTCTCCAGCACCTCGATCGTTATCATCTTAATCGCACTAATTTATTTCTCCGGACTGTTCATTAGATTTTTCGCTCGTTCCCTCCCAATCACGTTCGCTCGTGTCTCCCTCGCTTTCTCTCAATATCCTCAGGCAACGATTATTTCGTGGTTTGCACGACGAATTAAAGACTCAGCCGTCAAGCCAAAAGTATTACAAGTGTCTTCTGCATACTACGTGCGACGGAGGAAGAAGAAAGGCTGTGCGCTGAAAATGAACGCGCCTTCTCGACGGCGGCAACTCAATTTCGTGGCAGAGCAATGAAAAGGGAAGTGTTACGGCGAGGCTGCGACGAGGCCTGAAACTTATGCATGCTACGCGACAGAATTATGCCGCGCGTCAACCATCGAAATCTTTAACGTGACAAGAGACATAAGAGATGTATCGACATAATAGAAGAAAAGATGGACGAGGAGAACGAACCGGATCGCTTTGTGATTTTACACAGTCTTTCCATAATAACGTTTATCATTCCGAGTCGTTTGTTCTTCGTTTACGGAGGACTCGAGTTTCTCTTCGACCGAACAATTTCCTGTGCAACTTCGAAACGCATCTTGAACATTCCGCTCTCGAGGGAAGTGTCAGCCAGCCGGTTCTCGTCGAGTTTTTCATTGCACCAGACGGCGGGCCTCTTTGATCTTCGAAATTTTTTCCAACTACTTTCGAATAGCGATGTTTCTATCGAGTCAAGATCAAGGAAAGTTCAATTCGTACGAGTGTTCGCCATGAAAACGTTCTTTGATTCTTTCAATCACCGTTTATGGACGCTCCTCTTGCGCGACGATCCTTTCCATTTGCGACTATTTTCGATTTGAATTTGTAGAATTTTGACGAGTGTTGTGGCTTTTGCGACGATTCTCCGATCGTTATTCAGTGAGATGTTATCGTAATTCAATTTCGCCTGCGGGATTTTAACGAATTAAGGAAGCTGTCGATGTCAGCTTTTGATCAACGCTTCCGAAGAGGAAAAATATCAATTTTTCCAGGCAGATCCACGAATCGGGAAACGCTGACTCGGGTTAATCTCGTTTGTATGAATCTGATTTAGTCGGCGATTTGATTCAAAGAAGCGCCGCGAACTCCATAAAATAAGGAGTACGATTGCGGTCTGTCAGAATGGAAATATTTCCGAGGGTGTAACGACGTCTGAGTTTCCAAGAGGGTGAAGAGTTATTCCTGGCCCGATTATGGCATCTTTAGCTGCTGGTTCCAGCAACTTCAGCCGAGACACGCCAAAAGTTGAAGAAAAATTTCTATCGATGACGAAAAATTCCCTGTCTTTTATTGCAGTAACATCGTTCCAAGCTTCGATATTATTTCAAAAATGTTCGATCGAACGATAGATCGAACGGTACAGGTGTACCCTCGAGTGAGAGGAAAGAGCTCCTTCGGGCGACATACGTGGAACGCAAATGGTATCACCGACAAAAACGTTGCTCGATTTAAAAAGGACAATTTCGATGGATCCGATTTGATCCGACCCTCGAGAACGCCGAACAGGGAATAGAATTCGAAAGGAAAATCCCAACTCGATATCGGAACTTGAATCGTGGGTCCCCGTGTCGTCGTTCAGAACGGACTCTTCGATCTTTGTCGGTGTGTCGAAAAAAATATTTTCCCGCTTCAAGTGCCCCAAGTTAACACTCGACTTGACAATCGAGCGACACGGTGGTCATCGGTGGCACACATTTTTCTACGTTTCTTAGAACCATCGCAACGAATAGGATAAATTTCACGTACCAACGAATCTTCAACAGTGCGAATGACTCGGATAACACTGACGAGGGAAAGTGTTCCGATACGATATGCTATTTTGCGAAAATTATTTGTTACGGTGTATATCACGATCTATCGCGGCGAGATATCTGAAACACGCGTGGCAATCGGCGTCTTAACGCGGATACGTTAGAGTCGAGGGAAACGTAACGAATAATCATTTTTCCGCTCCGATTGCGAGTAGATGGTTCGGCTACCGATCGTGCGAAATATGTGATTTAATCTACACGATATCGCAATTGACTCTGATGGTCGGAGATTGAAAGTTGGTGCGCGAAATCGAGTGTCAGGTGACGGCTGATACATCCGCGAAACGTCTACGCAGGAGCAGCAATCAACCTCTACCCATCCAATTTCGATCGAAACAATTTGGAAGAAAGTCGAAAACGGCTATAAAGTTAACCGAGCAAACTCCACTTTCTTAAAGCCCGATTTTCCCGAGGGTCCGAACGCCGAGAGGCGTGACTCGATCCCTTATCCCAGGGTAGGAAACAATCTCTTTGTAATTACAGAGCAGCTCTTCGATATTTTTTATGGAGCATGCTGACTCTAGAAAGGTCTACCCTACCCTAGGCATCCCAATCACGGTTGGTTTCCTAAGGATTTACCAGCTGGGTTCACCTTACGTCTTCGATGTATCCTCTCCATCTTGGGTTGGTGGACAACAGAGAGAAGACCACGACGATACGTACAATCGATAACTCGTAACGGATGGTTTACAATCTGTCGCAATGTGACGGTGTTTCTTGCACTTGCTTGGAAAGCCTGTTTCTGGCGAAGAAATTTTGTGACAAGTTTCGAGTACGATCCATAACTCTTCTTGCTTCTCACTCGCAAATGTATCGCGACAGCTCTCGTGGAACTTCGTTATGGATTTTCTTATGAATACATTTTGCCGCAAAGAGACAAACTCATCGTGATTATAACAATGAAACTCGAAAGCAATCCGAGAATCTACGTAGAAATTATCAGACATTTATCGCGAGCATACACTCGTTGAAAAATTACTGTACGAATGGTAGTCTTAGATGTACAATTAGCGCTAGAAATGGTCTCGCTAATTGATACAACGAATAATTGATTTTTCACCTGCAACTTTCATTGCAACTTCCATGTACAGTCTCAAATCCGTTTGAAATTTCACCAATATAACAGCTGCGGTCGTGTCTCGCTACGATACTAACGAGAGTTAAAAATACTTTGCCGAGCCACTGTATCTTGTAGAATCTGATGGATTATCTGGCTGGGCAGCGATTGCACGCAAACTACTTCCGGTTAGAAGGGCAAAGGGCTTGCCGAGTACGCCTGTTGCGCGTTAAGGCCACAACTTTGCTATCAATTACCGACAATGATAGATCGATGTACTCCGGCAAAACTGCTTGATGAGTTTCTTTAATTACAATCCTCTTCTCGTTAAGCTTCTGCATAATAATTTTATAGATAAACACGGCGATAGATTAATACAATCATCTAACTTTCTATCTTTCTTCTTGCTTTTCCTCCGCTCTTTCTTTATCTCAGTCACGTTCCCATTGAACATTTCCTAAGTACTTGGTTCCTTAGGGTGTATCTAGGTTAAATCTGAGTTAGGTTCGAATTAAGTTTCCACTAAGATTCTATCCTTCCTTCCAACTCCGCCTAATAAAGCGCATATCTACGTCTCTACGTCTATTTATCTCCATACTTTCCAGTGTTTGCCCATCTTACGTAAGACGCAACGCTGTCCTCCATTCAACGAATATCGCGTTTGGAATATTTAACACGAGTTTCCTGTTACATCGCATCGATTGTTCCAAGCTAAATTTTCCACCCGTTATCAACGCCAAAGATAAGCCAAACGTTGAGAGCGAAAGTGCAGTGATACAGATCTTCCCGCGTGCGAGTTTCTGGCGACAATTTATTCCTACGAGCCGCGTTCATCGTAAAAGAAAAT